TAACTTCAACTACAGCACATCCACATTTTAACATTTTCTCCACCAAAGCAGCTCCCTTTCTCAACTGCCTCATCTACATCCACAGTATTCTCCATATCTTCAGGACTCAGAGTTATTTTGGTTTATCTTCTGTTTTTCCACCAACCTCTAATTATCAAGGTTTCTCACCGAGCGTGGTGGTGCACGCCTATAATCCCAGCACTCAGGAGGCTGAGGCAGGAGGATTGCCATGAGCTCGAGGCCAGGCGGGTCTACATAGTGAGCTCAAGGCCAGCCTGAACTGCCTAGTGAGACCCTGTCTCAAAAAGAAAAAAAAAGGTTTCTCTACTTATTCCTTAAAAGGTGTCATGTGTTCGTGAGTAAATAATCTCAACAGACAATGCACATAGCAAGCAATACCGATATTAAATAAACACATGAAAAATGTTCAAATTGGAGCAATCAAAGGATCCAAATTAAATAACAGGTACCATTTATACCTATTGCATTGCAAAAAGAAAATTTTCAATGATGGCAAAGTTTTAGGGAGATTTGTATCCTCATATATTTCTAAGGGCAGTGTAAAATGCGTTCTGGGCGAAGCGGTTTGGTGAAATCTCTGAAAACTGTAAGAATGTTCATTTTCTCTGAACTAATAACCCAACTCCAGCTACTTACTTTTAATGAGATAATTCAAACTGAGAAAAAGATTATATCTATAGCTGTTTCTGCAGCACTGCTCTATAATGACAAGAAATTGGAAAAAACCTAATTATCCAAAAATTTTGGAACAATTAAGCAAATTAAAGCACATTAAACTGGTGAACTATTATACAGCCATTAAAAATTGTAACTACTGAGGAAGCCTACATAGCAACATGAAAAACTATTTATCAAGTAATGCTTAGTGGGAGGGGGATCAGGACACACAAAATACATCTACATAGTTATTGTTGTCATTCCCAAAAGAATTTCTGTACCTATAAATAAAGCTGATAGGGAAATGAAAATAATTTTCACAACAAACTTTTTTCCTACCAAAATATCACATATATTTATCTATCCCTTCTGCTCTTTTTCTATCCTACCTCTACTTCCCCAATCCAGACCACACTCTTTCATGTCTGATCAGTGCCTACACTGGTCTTCCTTCAATCCTTGCAGTCTGCAAATGCTGCCAAGTTACCTACAGTACCATGTTTATCACGGCACTTAACTGATCAGTTTTATACTAATACATAATCATGTAAAAGTTATACATATTCATGAGGTTCTGTGTAATGTCAATGCATGTATACATTGTATAACATATGAATCAAGTTAACATACCTATTTCTTCAAATATTTACCATTTTTATGGTGAAAATTTGAAAAATTCTTTCTTCTAGCTTTCTGAAATGTACAGTTCATTATAGCTGCCTATGGGCACCATACTGTGCAATAGTAACCTGGAGCTTCTTACTCCTATCAAACTGTAACTTAGTAGCCATTGCTGATTGGAAAGTTTTAGCTCTTCCCATGTTTGTAATCCTAGCTAGTTCTCAAGGTGTACCTATTTTGTCTCAAGGCTTTCCTAGGTACCTTATCTGCTGTTACTGCTTTTGATACTCGTGTTCCTCCTCTTCAGCATCACAATTAGCATTTATTGTTGCTTTATGGTGTCAAATTTTAAGGAATAACATATATTAACTCATTTAATCCTCACAATTTACCCCATGTTGCAAATAAGGAAAGAGAGAAAGATGAAAAGGGGAGGGAGAGAAGAAGGGAGAAAGGGAGGAGGAAGGGAGGAATAGCAGGAAGGGAAGTACTTGTCAAGCTGACATTGACTAGTGAATAGAAGAACCTGTTCTTGAATTCATAGGATTAATTCCAAGGTACCAGAGTTTAACCAGTAGGATGGATTCCTCTCTTGGGGACCACTACAAAGTGGCTCTGAGCAGGATTTAATATTAACCCACTGGCTTTCCGTGTTTACTTGTGAGTTGTCTGAAGCTTAGCACCTTGTCTGACAAGATAAGGCCACAGCTGAAGACGAATGGCTCCAACCTCAATTAACTATGAGGAGACTGCAGCTACAGGCCCCACACTCCTACAATAAACACCAACCTAAAGATAAGGTAGTTCTCCTGATAGACATAATTTACTACTTCGGAAAATTCTCCCAAGGTCCTGTGAGATTCCCATGTTTTCTTGAGTATCCTCCTCCTTTGTTTGAAAACCAAATAAATACGGGCTGCCCAGAGCAGTCTTTGGCTAACTCAGAGAACACTGAAGCTGTAAGGGAGTTAGTCCCTCCTGGAGCCCTGAAATCATTGCCATTGTCTGTGTTTATTTAAGCCTTCACCGTCCACTCGCTTGGGAGATTGCGGGCCTAATCAGCCTGCAATAACTTAGGGTTATTTATCCCGGTTGTCAATATTCCTCCAAAATACCCTGGTGTTTCCTCTTTAGGCCTTCCCTCCTGTAACTTCCAACATTCAGTTTTCTTACCCTCCAATAAATCTATACAAAAGACAAGAATACTTGTCATTTATTGATCCCTTAGCACGTGCCAGGTACTCACTGTTGGAAGCCTATATTTGACAGGGTATTATCTTCTGGTAAGCCATGTAAGCAAAAGCTGAGTTCAAACCTGGGCTATGTTTCCTAGCTGTGAGACCTTGGGTAGATTACTTAGCCTCTTTGAAGCTCAGATTCCAGTAGCGATCCCAGGACCAGCTGCATCAGCACGAGCCATGGAGCTGTCAGAAATGCAGATTTTGAACTCCACTACATACCTACTGAATCAGTCTCTGACTGTGGGGTGTAACTAACTCTCCAGGTGTTTCAACAAGCTCTCCAGGTGTTTCTGTTGATTCTGAGACCTACTGCCCTAGTGTAATAAAGCCTACCTGGCAGAATTGGTGGGAAGATAAAACATAACCTAATATGTGTAACAAGTTTCAGGGCAAGTACGTTGTTTTGCAAGTGGCAGTGTATCATTCCTGTTGTTGAAATGTGTACTGGTTATACTTCTCTGCTTGTTATGTGGGCAAGCACTGTGCCTCCCCCTACTTTTTTCCTAATATATCCCATCTGGTATAGAAAAAGATAGTATATACGCTGGGTTTTTCATAAAATCTTCCTTCACTGACAAGTCTATCACAGGACCCTTTCGAAGGACTGTCTCTGAAGTTAGACCTCGTAGGTCTAGTTCATACTAGCAGTGGAATTTTAGGTAAGTAAATGTTTGTGTACATGCCTCAGTCGCTTTGTCACAGGGAAAGAAAATAGTACCAACACCATAAGTCACAGTGATGAATAGCTGCATATAAAATGCTTTGGATGGTGCCTAGTACAAACAGGTAAGCTCACGAAATGTTAGTTGGCATTATTGCTTTTATGTCTTTTCACCCATTCAGTGGTGAATAGATTCTGTTTCTTCATTTGGCAAGCAAATGATAAAAACCTCTTGAGCAATTTCTCTGTGTTAGGCACAGAGAATAAGGTTCTGTCCAAGACATGATCTCCTCTCTTGAAGATCTTGATCTAATGCAGGAAATTTAGTGGAAACCCATAAATGAAGTGTTTTCTTACAAATCCTAATTGAAGCAGGAATAAGGGGGAAAGCAGGAATTTTGGAGCCAGACAAGTAAGTGTCCAAAACCTAGCTCTATCACTTATCTGGGTGACCTCAGAAACGAATTGTTGTGAAGAACAAATGAGATTTTCAGGATAGAAAGACCCTGCTCCAGTCTAGTAACTAGCATTTTGTAGATGATTCATGAATATAGGTTTCCACTCCTCTCTCATTACTAGCCAGAAAGAAGTTTCCAAGACTTAGGAGTCAGAAAAAGTGAGAGAAATTCCTGAATATGCTGTGAAATCAGAAGGGATAATGTAGACATCCTAGAAAGAACCCTGAACGCTTCAGGATTCAGGAGATTCAGACTGTATTCCTCTTTCAGTGTCTTCAACATGGAGAACAGAGGCACAATTTGGATCCTTTCCCTTGTCCCCTTATTTACTCTGGAGATTTCAGGAAGAGGCAATACAATTTAGGGGCCTCTTGTATCATTTGGGCTGAAAATAACTGACTTAAAGATTATCAGGGAGTCCGTACGAGCAGGTCTAGCCAGGCTGATACAGAGCAACCCAGAAGAAGATGATTCAAGAATCATCTACATCTCTCCGTGCCTCATCTCTAGAGAACACGAATGCCGTTGCTGTGACCTCCACATTACAGGGATACACTCCCTATCCTGCACGGTTTTTCCTTAAGGCCTATGCCCAAGAAGCTTTTTTCTCTATTCCAAATCTCCAGGAGTTGTCATCATGATCTGTCCCCAGAATTATTTTTTTGCAGCGCTATACTGGGGATTAAAACCAAGTCCCTCACACTGGGCTAAATCCCTAGCCTTTTATTGCTATTATTATTTTTAATTTGAGACAGGGTCTCACCAAGTCGCTAAGTTGCCCAGGCAATACTCAAACTTGGGATCTTCTTGTTTCAGCCTCCCAAAGTGGTGGGATTGTCCCCAGATTTTTAATAAGCAGACTTTAAGCCCTCAATTAACTGTATTAAAAGGAAGGTGGCAAAAGCCAATAAGTAATTTCTAACAACTCAAGCAAAGGCACAGCTGCAGCTGGAGAGTCCTTCTTCTTTTCTACAAGCCGCATCTTCCCCATGGTCACTGGAGAGAGAGGCACGGTTTATGCTTTTTCATTCCTTTTTAAGCCCATTCTGGTCCCACATGACCTTTGACCAGTGCAGTGCTGTCTGAGACCTCTATGCTGGTGGATACAATGTCCCACACAATACTGCCTAACTAGAGTACATTTCAAAATGTTGTAGCAGTCAGTTGGGTCTATACCCAAATGTCTAAGAGGCAGGCTGGATTACATCTGTGTTAACAAGTCCTTGATATGGATACCAGATCAGTTTCTTCAAAGGAAACTAAGTTAACTGAAGACCTTAGTAATTTCTATAGAAACCTCAGAGGCACCAATTTCTCCCAACTCTCTGAGCCATCACTTACCTCCCCGACTGGCCAGTCTTCTTGTTTGCTGTTATTGGTTTCCATTTGTCCCCAGGAAATTCCTGCAAAGCAAAGTTCTAATAAGTTAGGTAGCTCTGAACAACCAGGTATCGAGATGGTTTCAAATAAGACAAGCTATCGGGAGCCTGTGCCTGGCTAGTCCTCGAGCTGGTACCATGTACTGTCCTGGGAAGGCTACAGAAATGTGCGCCTGGAAGCCTGCCTTCCTGCCAGGATGCCTGCTGAGCTGCTGCAGGCATGCTGAGAGCCTGGACACTGGCAGTTTCTAGAAAGAGCTCTTTCTGTCTGCCCCTTCCAAACCATATTTAAAACCCATTTAACATATTTGCTATTTGCTCTGGCTCTTGCCTGCATCGAGCATCAAGGGAAGGAGGTCTTTTTGTTCGTTCTAGTGGATGAACCTGCTCATTCTTCCTACCTCTGCCAATACAAAAAGCATCTTCTTGGAAGCTCTGGCCTTGGGGGTGTGTGTGGGAAGGGTCACAGGCAAAGGCTCCTGCTGCAGCAACCCTCTCCCAGGGTGCGCAAAGGGAGAGGGAGCGTAGACCAGCCAGCATTCTTTCCTTCCAGGCCGAGCCATGTGTGCCATTTATACAAATGTTCTCACCTTCCCATTCTAGCTCTAAACGGAATGAAATTTTTCCTTTCAGATTCTTCCTGATTTTCCAGCCTTCGCCATCTACCTAGAGACTCAGAGCTGAGCCCAAAAGGAAGGCATAGGGTTTCCTAAACCTCACTGATCTCCCATACTCCATTTCTCCAATGTTGCTATTATTAGTTCCATTCAAAATTTCATTACCTTTACCTCAGTAGCACCTTTTGGGGAGCGCTGGTGCAGGGGAATGCACATAGGTCTTTGTTTGTTGTTGTTGCTATTGTTTTACATATTTTGTAGCACGGTAGTAAGGATTAAACCCAGAGCTTTTTCACTGAGCTATATTCCCCGCTGTTTTAAAAAGTTTTAAAATCTCTGTTAGTACACATTTGCAGTGCATGTTTACACTCCTTGTGTGGCGTTGGTATACATACACAGCACACCTTAATTCACTTTACTGATCTTCGTCCCCTTCCCTCTGCCTTCCTTCATCACTCAATCCCCTTCCCATTTGAAAAAGATCCACCTTCCTCCTTCCAGTTATCTAACTCATATTTTGCTTTTTCTTTATGTTTTGGAGACAGGGTCTCACTAAGTCATTAAGTTGCCAAGCCTGAACTCCAACTTGAGCTCTTGCTGCCTCAGCCTCCCAGAGTGCTGGTATTATAGGCGTGTGCTACCACACCTGGCTAGCTGTGTTATTTGAGAGTTCTGTCACTTTCCTGTACCTCAGTTTCCATCTGGAAAATAAGGATTATGCTACCTACTCTTGCTGGGTTACCAGTACTGAGGAACGAATGAGATGTGCAGAGAGAACTCTTTGCACAATGCTTAGCACAGAGAAGGTTCTGGATCTTAGTAGCCATGGAAAAGGTGAAGTTTATTTCCTGGTTCCAATTTTCACAGGACCAAAGTAGTCCCTACATGTATCTGGGACATCAGAGTAGCTCTAGCCACCTGTACTTCAGATTTTGCCTCGATGCCCTTGTGACACATCCTTGCCCACAAAGACACCATGACTCGTTTAGCCACAGTGGGAGCCAGGATTTCCTGGCCATGCCCTGTCTAGCCCTGTGGAAGTGCTCAGAAAATAGCAGTGGCCAAACTAAACAATGTCCTCTACCCACTGCTAACTGCCTTTCCGTATTTCGTTTCAGTTTACTTTTTGTCCTGAGCCACATAGGTTCCTGTAAATGGCCTGTGCCTTTGAACCGAAGAAACCGTTATCACCATGTTTGGTGGTAGATGGGGATTATGCGGGAACTTGCTTCCCCAGTGGAAGGGATACTACTAGAAGGCATCCTGCCACACTGGAGAGAGTCTGGGCTTTGGAAGCAGCTGATGGAGAGGCAGTAGAACAAACTCAGGTGTTTGGCTGCCATAACTAGAGGGTAAAGCTTCAAATCCCGCACCGATCCTTCACTAGATGTACAGCTTCTCTTTACTCTCATTTATATAGCAGTAGATATGTGGCGCTAAGAGTATCTGTTTCTTGACTGCCTGAGAACTCAATGAGTTTTTACATCTCATGCGCCTAGAATATACGTGGTGTTTAGTGGACATCCAAATGTCAGTTACTGCTGTGGTATCCAAATATTGGCTCTGTCATTTGTAAGATGTGTGGGCACTCTGAGCCTCAGTCTCCCCTACTGTAAACTGAGGTTCCTATTATAATTTGTCTCAGACAGTGAAATAATCTATGTGTATAAAAATAACCAGCATGGGCTGGGGATATAGCTTAGCGGCACAAGTGCCTGCCTGGCAAGCACAAGGTCCTGAGTTCAATTCCCAGTACAAAAAAAAAAAAAAAAAAAAAACCAGCATAAAATATAGGGGATATGAATGTGTGCTGATTTCAGTTCGAACAGCAGTGAAGAGGAAAAAATTAGCTCCTCAACCTTCTCCAGGAGCAGAAGGAACAGGATCTCAGCCACATGTCAGAAAGCTGCTGTCAGAGATACCTTAGTCATCAGAACTATTGCATCTGAATCCACAAGTTTCCCCCAGGTCTCGCAGGGTTAGGCTGCAGGGTACCAGTAGTAGGGTAGACATGCGCATGCAGTTGCTCCTAGGCAGCCAACCTCAGGTCTCAGCAGACCTGCTTAGCCAGTCTAATAGGCATTCGGAACCCAACATGGCCCTCCCTCCAAGCACAAAAGGAAGGTCCTGGTATAGGCTCAGGTTCACCTGCACTGCTGCTGCCAGTTGCTTCTGTCTGCTATTTGCACCGCCTTCCCTTACACAGTTGCTGGGCCTGGGCTGGCACCTCTGCAGCCACCATCTCACATCCTCTTCATCCTCAGTCCCCTTTCTTTATTATCTACGTGTGAGTCCTTTCAACTAAAATTTATCAAGCTAAGTCAAAATCTCCCTTTACCTTAAAAGATAATAGCTTATTTATAAGATAATTACTATCTGACAGGCACTGTTCTAGGGGCCTTACACATCCATCATATAATCCTCACAACCAATTTATGGTAGGTGTTGATATTACCCTCATTTTTTTAGATAGAAAGGGTTAGGCACTAAAAGTTCTGGAGAAGTAATTAGAACCCAGGCAGTTTGGTTGTAGCTTCAGTGCCTGTTAACCATTATCCTGTATTTCCCCTCCATTTTTCAACATGGTATATTAAAACACCCCCAAAATTTGAAAATGTTTAGGCCCATATACCCACCATCTACCTTCTACAATTAACATTTTGCTATAAACTAAAAAGTCACCAAATGAAGTCACTCAATGTAGAGGAAATAAATAACCTACTTGACCCAACGTTTATTATGGAAATTAAATTTGTAATTATAAACCTTCCCAGAGAGAAAATTCCAGGCTTAAATGGCATCAGTGATAAATTATACCAGATATTTAGGGAATAATACTAAATTCTTTGTGAAAATATATGAGAAAAGTATACTTCTTGACTCATTTCTTAAGGCCAGCACTGTCCTCGTAGAAAAGACAGACAAAGATATTACAAGAAACCTACAGACTAAAATTCCTGATAATCATAGATACAAAAATCCTTAACAAAATACTGACAATTCAAATGTAGTAACATGTAAAAAGGATGTAACATTCATGATCAAATAGGATTTATCTTGGCAATGCCAGGCTAGGGATTATTTCAAATACCAATCAATATCAATCACCATGTGAATAGAAGAGAAAAGTTACATGTTCTTATCTCAATAGCTATAGAAAAAGCATTTGAAAAAAAGTCCAAAATGCACTCCAAAAACACTCTTAAAAAGACCTCTCAGGTATTAAGACTAAAAGAATATTTCTTCACCAGGTGTGGTGGCACACACCTGTAATCCCAGCTACTCAGGAGATTGAGATAGGAAGATTGTAAGTTCAAGGCTGTCTGGTGAATTTTACAAGACCCTACCTCAAAACAAAATAAAAAGAGATGGTGATGTATTTCAGTGCTTGCCCTAGCATGTGTGATGTGTCCTGGGTTTAATCCCTAGGATACAAAGAGGAAAGGAAGGAAGGAAAGGGGGAAGTGAATGAGGCGGGGGGAGATTGTAGCTATGATCAAATGTAACACTGAATGATTACGAAGCAACACTGTCTGCTCTCACCACTTTTTCTGAAATGATGGTAGCCCTAGACAGTGCAGTGAAGCTCCCCTCTCTCCCAGGAAAGGGCACACAGAGTGGGAAGGAAGACGTAAAATTCTTTCTGTTCACAGATAACATGATTGCTTATGTACATATCTTTTATAATCTACCGAAATGCTAGAACTAATCAGTGCATTTGGCAAGGTTGCAGGATGCCAGACCAGTATACAAAGTTCAACTGTCTTTCTACATAGTGATTACAAAGAATTTTAACTTGACATTAAAAAACAATACGTTTATAATAGCATCAAAACATGAAATCTTAGGGATAAGTAAGTATGTCAAAGTATATGTAAGATTTATATGCTGAAAATGATAAAAAAAAAAGCTGTCAGCATACTTCAAAAATACTTTGGCATACATATTAAATAATTTTATATTCACTTACAATATATTTATGGAAAAATGTCTCCCCAGATGTGTACAAATACGGATGGTACATTTGTTAATTTTTGTCAGATACACCTGTGTAACCAGAAACTTTATCAAGGGCATGCTCTCAGGCCATGTTCCAGCCAATCTCTGTGCTGCTTGTCATTGGCAAGTATTGCATTTTTCCCCCACAGGTATATAGCCTTTTGAGATCTCCATAGAAAAGGAATTGTAGAGTATGTACTCTTTTACATAAAGTGGCTTTCACTTCCAAAGTTTCTTCTGGCAAATAAAATATATTGAGCAATTTCAAACACTAAGTCATTTCCGAAGTGTCCACCTGTGAAACAACAGTCCAATACACCAGTTCATTTCTGGGTTGAGTTCAGTTGCCAAAAGGCGGCACTAGGGATGCCATGGGGAAGGGAACTGACAGTGAGGGAGCAAAGACATAAGGTGTCCTCCCAGAAGTACACTGGGAAAAGGCAGGAGCTAGTGTTACGGTGATAGATCATAACCGGGGCATGACAGCAGCCAGTCTAAACCTGAGTCTCCAGCTGACAAAGGTTGGAGAAGAGGGGGAAGATTTGTCTTTGAGAAAAGAAAAAGACAAATGAGGTCTCTGAAAGCAAAATCTAGGGGAATATTTGCAAATTTTATATCTTCAAATAGTTTCTAAACAGGAAATGGAAGACAATAAGTGCTGGTTTGCATCATGCACTGACCTGGCACACTATATGTAAGATCTCATTTGATCCTCATAACTGATCCGTGAGGCTCCCATGTCGCTCTTCAACTTTAGAGATAAGGTAATAAGACTGTTCTAAGTACTGGCTACTTATGGGGTAAACATTAGCTTTTCTTTTAAAAATCATATAATTTCAAATTGTGGTAGTTGAATGCTTAATGTCACTTAGATACCAATTTTGCAATCAGGATAGAAAACCCAGTTCTGTTCATTCAACAAAGCAAAAGTTACTTTTATCTAATTTAAAGATGCACAGGTGCATTGTACTTTCTGAGACTAAGTGTTTTGCTCAAGATCACTAAGCCACCGCCTGAGAGAGACAAAATGATAATTATTACATTTTCGAATGACTTACCTATCTTTCTCCTCACAAGGAGACTAATAAACTCAGCCACCCCATGGATCAAGTCCTCACCTGCACCGTTGGCTTCCTGGATTTCCAAGCGTTGCCAGGTGCCAAGCTGCTCTCCTCGAGGGTACTGTGCTGAGGATTATGACAGCAAGCTGCACACCGCATGCACTGGTGGTGGTGGCACCTGCAGTTGTAGCACTTTGCCATCATATTTCTTTTTAACAAGCTGGGGCAGATTTCTCCGGAACAATAAATGCAAGAGTCATGGACCATAGCTCCCTGAACACTGCAGGAGTAAGAGCAGGTCCTGCGGCAATCAAAATCACTGCAGTGCAGTGGCTTGCAGCATAGAGAATTTTCTAGACCTTTGCTTACAAAGCATTCTGAGTAAGTGGGAGTTTCTGACTGAAGGGGTGACATGGAATGATACGATTGGTCTGTGGCATGATATGGTTGGTCTGTGGAATAATATGATTGGTCAACAGGATGGCACCTTAATTCCCTGTAGCTGGAGTTCATTGACTGGAAGTTTTGGTCTATAGGTTTTGGTCTCTGAGTGAAAGTCTTATTACTATGAGTGGTTAAACCTGGCAAATGAGATGTGGATAAGGATTTGCTGCTCTCTTCAAAGAACTTTCTTCTGTCTGCAAAGGGCAAGAGGGTGGTTTCCTCCCCAGCTTGGGTAATAGAAGCCTTCAGTTCTTTGTTGTCACTTGGGCTGGAAGAGCCTTCCATGGGTAGTGCCACATGTGGGGGTAGGTTATGCTCCGGAGACCATCCTCGATGACCTCCACGGATACCATGGTAAACATTTCCTCTTTCAGAGTCTGAGATGGATGGGTCAGATGCTTTCCACCAGGTGTTCAAGCCCACAGAGGACTGGCCAGGCCTCTGACCAAGGCTTATTTGTCCCTCCAAGCCTGTCCTAGATTCATGGCTCTCAGAACCTTGGCTAAGGCACTCTGAAGACCTAGCCCTGAATATCATGCTTTTGTTGAAAAGCTTATCTCTGGGGCTAGGGAGATTTTTATATGAAGATAGAAGAGATGAGTTAGAGGCAGGAAGAGGAGGATTTTCTGGAAGCTCTTGGGTCTCTTCCACTGGCTCCTGAGTGTCACACAGCTGTGACAAGGGACCCTTGCTCTTCTGAAGCTGGGCCTTCCTCCTCTGAATTTCATTACGCAGATTGGTAGCAAAACGTTCACTCTTCCTTCGGTTTTGGACTGAGCGGCCCCGGGGGCCTCCGCTTCGCCTGCCGCCCATCCGACTGCACTCCTTGGGTTCACTGTCTCCTTCCTCCGTTACGTCTGTGCTGCCAGCTACTTTGCTAGCTGAAGAACAGTCTTTGGTTTGTTGAAAGAGAGCACAAGAGGCAGCAGGCTGCTGCCTGGCCAAGTCACCAGCTGTTCCGCTTGCTCTGTTTGGGTCCAGGAATCCTCTTTCTGGCGGGCATCCATCAGCCTCTCCATGTGGAGAACTTCTTTGGCTCTGGGGTCCTGAACTCAAAGGCCTGTCGTCCGTTGGCCTGGTCTTTCTTTCTCTGCTGGGCTGATCCTGGGACCCTCCTGTAGGGGGACAGGGGCTTGTCTTCCCTTTGTGGCTGCTGTGCAAAGGGGACAGAGTCCACTGGTGTGCATCCTGCCCCGCTGGGCATTCCATCCCCTTGCTACCTCTGGGATCCAGGTGCACATGTTGTAGGTGGGATGCCAGTAGCTGCTCAGGGGCACTGTGGCGATGCCCTGTGGGTCCTGTGAGGAGTTGAGGGCTGCCAAAGGGAGGAGCCTTAGTTAGCTCTGCTGGTGTCTCATTGATTTCAGCTCCGCTGGAATCTCTGCTAGAAGCTTTGTCACAGGTTTGGAGAGAAGCCTCCATGAGGAGATGCTCAGAGCCCTGCTGGCTAGATTCAGGAGGCTGGCTGAGCTCACAGTTCTGATGCTCCTTGCCTGTTACATGGTCCTGCCCACTGAGGCAGTAGAACCTGTGAGGGTTCTTCAGGGATAAGACTGTGTCTAAGCTTGTTTTCTCCTTCTGTTGCAAGGAGTCCACAGGCTCAGATGCCCTGTACTGCTCTCCATTGAGGAGTTGGGCTTTGGAGGCCTGGAGGCTGTCCCGCCTCACTGGAGGCTGCGGTGGGCCTCTGACTGTCTTGGCAGACCCTGAGTGGTAGTTCCCCTGTGAGTGCGATGACATCTGGGAGTTGGGGGTCAGGCGGCCAGTGTGGGTATGCTGGTTGCCTCCTGAGGTCTCAGACCCATTAGCCCGGGCATTGGGAGCCTTAGCTGGCCCCAAGCCTTGTGTGATACAGTCCGCAGGGGCTGCCTCCTCTGGCCTGAGGGAAAGAGCACAGTCAGAGGCATTTGAGCTGGCTGAGAAGGAGCTGTAGGCTGAGTCACGCTGGTTAGGATACATGTTCTGCTCAATGGGCAAGAGATGGCCCTCAAGGGTGGCTTGGCCTGGTTGTTCCAGGCTCTCCATGCTGCCAATGGAGCTGCTTTTCTCAGTGCTGCAGTGCCGGGAGAGAGAACACCACTGCACACACACGTCACTGTAAGACAAAAGGAACACAGGTTAATTGCCAAGCCACTAGATCCCTTTCACACCCTGACTTGCCCTCCCATGGAAGAAACCCAAACAACCCAGAGGCACCCATCAATAAGGCAAGAAAGGGAGAAAGTGTCATGGGGAAGGATGGATACTGGGGTACCGCAGGGACATGGTAAACATGACAAAGACTGCAAGTAAGAAAATGCCATGGGAATTATGCACCACTGCCCTGTCATCAAAGGGTTGGAATTGCTTCTAGGTTGTCACTGTCTGCTGGGAGTCAGCATGTGGCTCTCTGCCAGGAGAGACAGTCACAGAATATCAGCATTAGACAGGGGTCCTAAAGGGTTGACTCAATTTCAGCCAGATCATTTCATAAATCAATGATTCTCCACCTGAAATGTGCATCAGCATTACACGGAAGGCTTCTTATAACACAAGCCACCAAGCTTTATCCTGGAGTAGTGATGGCGAACCTTTTAGAGTTTCCAAAGATTAAAACCAGTCTGCTGCAACATGCATGCCATTGGTGCACCACTACTGCCTACAGAGTTTTAGGTCCAGTTGGATCCTGAACATATGTACTTCTAACTTCCCACATGCTGCTGGGCCCAGCTGCTGGTCGCAGGGCCCTGCTTTTGAGAATCACTGGTGTCCGTAAAGTAAGACCTGCAAAAGGAAGTGAGTTTGAAGAAGTAATTTTCCCAAGTTCGCTCAGCTTGAACTAGTGACACAGACAGGTTGGGAATTGAGGCATTCCCCGATTCTGTTCTTTTCTTAGGGCCTTGAGCATGCTAGCTTAAGTGCGCTACCTCTGAGCTACACCTCCAGCCTCTCCCCCACTTTTTGTTGACAGTAGCAACCCTCACTATTTGTTGAAGACCTACAATGTGTCAAGAACTTTAACTGATAGGGGCTGGGGATTTAGCTTAGCAGCAAAGCGCCTGCCTGGCAAGCGCAAGGTCGTGAGTTCGGTTCCTGGTACCGGAGAAAAACCAAAAAAAAAAAAAAAGAACTTTAACTGGAAGGGAAGATCATTATTGTGACTGTACAACTGAGAATACTGAAGCTTAGGTAAAATCAACTGAGAAGTGAACTATTATACAGAAGAAGAAGGGCTGGAATTTGGACCCAGGCCTGCATGGATCCAATGTTTTAGCTTTTTTCTGATATCAAATTTTAAATAGGAATAATAGTGAAATCTGTGTCCGAGAGTTTCTGTGTTGATAAAATCAGATAATACATGTAAAGCCCTTATCACAGTGAGGCACCCAGCAGGGGCTCACTGCATGGTAGAGGCTACTGTCTTGATTGTTCTTAGTGTTAGCAGCACAAATATTGACTACCAATATTGATATTGCAATGGCCTCTACCTACCCATGCTTCCCACATCTCCCTCAGCAAAGGCCAACCAGGGAGACAAAGAGCAGATACAATCTCGAATTTTAAGTACCATTTCTCACACACATAGCTAAAGTGAGCCAAGTCATGCCAGTAACTCCCTCTGACTGGAACTTTGGAGGTGTCAGGATGCTTTCAGAAAGGCCATAGTCCGAAGAGCTACAGCTGAGCTGCAGTGTGACAGCAGCCCTCCAGATCTTCAGGTCAGCATCCTTTATTTCTTGCTCCCTGCCTTTCCCCTTAGGCATTCTGCTCACTTGTGCTCTGGACTAAGAATTCACCAACTGATTTTTGGCAACAGAACCTGGTGCTGACTCTACCACCCTTCCTGCTGGAAAAAAAAAAACCACACCTCCTCTCAAATAGGAGCCCAGTTCAGACTGTGTTTCTGTGTATTCTTCTAGAATAAAACCACCTCTCCCTGAGCCTCTGGCATCCAATGCTAAATAAAGTCACTGAGTCAGAGCAAACTCAGTCCTTAGTTTCCCTAAGTCTCTCCCAAGAAATCCCTTCTTGGAGGGAAGATCTGGTTGTGGAAAGGAACATGCAGCCAAGAGCAGCACACTGGCTGGCTCCGAGCTTGTCAAAAAAAGTTGTCTACCTCTTGGACAGCTGTTTCAACAATAAATAACACTGAGGTCCCTGAATAGAGTGATCTTCCTTGCATGTAGACCCTGTTCTTCATGGAGGTCTGTATTTTGGAGGGTTTGACCTTGTAAAATAGAGCTGATAAACACTGGATGAAGTCCCCAGTGAGTGCTGTAGACAGAAGACATAACCAGGATGAAACTCTGGTGGTCCTCTTGTATTAAGGGAACAGGGATATGGAAAGAATTAGGAAAAGAGACAGAGAAAGAGCAGCTAAGGAAACAGGATGAGAAGGAGGACAGTGTGATGTCCTGTAAGTGAAATGAGGTATTTCAAGAAAACACTGTCCATCAGAAAAGGGACAGGCTCAAAGTCACAGAGAGTTAGCAGGAAAGTAAAATAAGAGCACAGGTAATCTGGACTCCCACGTCATTTTCAGTTCTACCACGGTTGGCTCTAAAATATCCATCAGGGACCAGAGAAGAAGAGGAGGAGTGGCCAGGCCCTTCAGCTCACCTTGAGGAGAAGGCTCCAGACTTACCCAGTGTTGCAACCTGAATGCCAGGATAAGCTGAAGGCTTCAGAAGGAAAATGCATGGTGGTGGCCGCTTCAGGGCATCCCTCCAGGAGCTTGGCCACATGCCATGAGTGCGGCCTACTGACAAGGGCGTTTCTCCTACAGCAAGAAAGGGACAGGAAGTTAGCTTAAGGAACCAGGGCTGAAATCACTTCCCGGGCAGTTTCCGCTCCCACCCCTTCTTTCCTTTCAGTGAGGTGGAACATCTTGCAAGGAACTGGTATGGGACTCTGAGGGCCCCCCCAGCTCTCAGTACTCAGGTCCCCTTCATCCCAGGGGCAATCCCTGGAGATACAGAATATCAGCTTCACAGGGCTATTTTCCTCATAGGAGTACCCTTACACATATAGTAATGCTAGAGACAGAGCAGATATCAGTAAGTATCTGTGGAAGAAAAGAGAGTGGCTGTCCAATATATACTGAGCCTGCCTTCACTTCTGCTTGAGAAAAAAAATCAATTTAGCAAATTTCCAAGTTTTCTTTGAGAGAGAAAGGAAGAAGTGATTGAATAAGTTAACACTGGGCTGTGAAATCTCAAGTTTTTATGCATTTGTTCAATAGGCATTTGTTGTACGTGTACTAGGTACTGTGTACATGTGGCTCTAGGGTACCAACATGAGTCAAACACAATCTGTCCTCGAGGATTTACAGGTTCATTAAAGGGACAGAGGTAATCCAAGTAAAGCATGATAAAGGCACTGAGTGAGTGAAGGACAAGATGAGCGTGCAGATGAGACACGAGTTCGCAGCCACAGTGGTATCAGGGAGTCCTGACTTCCGTGAGGGGGAAAAAGAACAGAGGGATGAATGGCACCGTGCTAGGTTTACAGAGAGCTTGGCTATAAAGCAGGTCAGCGGTGAGTAAAAGGTAATAGGTTTGAGGCCAAGTCCCCCAATGCACGCTGGCGCTGGAGGCTCTGGTCCCAACTCCTGCACTGAGTGACTCATGCAGATTTCATCTCTGTCCCCAAGCATGCTTCATGCAAATAGACGCCACTCTTGCAAGTGGGGAAGAGCACACGTGGGGCACAGATAATGCCAGGGGATAAGATATGACTGATGGGACAGAGAAGAGGAGGGAGAAGGAAGGAGGAAGAATAAGAGAGGGAAAGAGCATAAAGGGAATGGGGAGAGGGAGTGTAAAGGAGGGAGAGGAGAGGGAAACGGACAGGGGGAGGGAGAGATAGAGAGAGAGAGAGGAAGAGCAGGAGAGAGAGAGAGAGATAGGCAGGCAAATGTTTGAGATAAGAGAGAAATGACAGAGGGGAAAAACAAATGACAGAAAGAGAAAACCTTGAGAGATTATAGAGAAATATATAGTATAGTGAATTGGATGACACAGATGAATGTCAGAGTAAGAGAAAGAGGAGCTAAGTAGATGATAGATCAATAGACGAGAGAATATTTACTAGTTTATTCACCCATTCTTTACTAATTTATTCCCAGTTACTGTGCCAGGCTCCATACGAGGCACCGATGATTCAAATTTGAATAAGATGAAGGCTCCTCTTTTCAACAAGCTTGATGTACAACGGGATAAATCAGTTCTCCCCCTCCCAGGGCAGTGTCAGATAGTGTCAACCTGGAGGATTCTATTCCAGCTGGAAATGTCCCTCACCCCAATGGAATGACAGAAGATCCCAGGGCTACAAGGCAGTCCTATTTCAGTCCTGAGGCGCATAGGGTTGCTAGGGATACAAAGATTGAATAGTAACAAGTCAGACACAGATAAGAAGATACAGGAGGAAGGGCGGGGAAAGCTGTTGGCCAAAGTTCAGAGCCACAGATCAGCAGTAGTGGCTAAGAATTATGGGGAGGAAGGCCAGCAGAGGCTCTCACCTTTGCAATCACATGGAATTTAAGAGTGGCTAATAATTAGGCTAACGTTGAAAGAAAGGGGACTTGGGGACTGTACTTGCTTCAGAATCTCACATACAAATCCCTGCCTTGCAGCTGAGAGATTTCTCCAGCTGCTCTTACCTGGTAGTCATGTGCTCAACAACTGCCTATGAATGAAGCACCTCCTGATAGTGGAGTCCTGTGTTACTAGTTCTATGGAGCATGTATATCTACCATCTCCTATGCCCCGAAGCATTGAAAGTGAAGTAGGAACAGGACACCTGTCCTATTTCAGGTTCTTCTTCCACCTCCAGGATTCCCGAAGCTCTTCTGAGTCCTGGGTTCAAAGTGTGGGGAATCAGCCACAATATCACCTGCTCCCCAACTGTACAAGCCCACCCTGAGTTCTACGGACTCTTCTCTTATGCTGTGTCTATGTTTTTGCTTCTCTCTCTGTCTCTTCTTCCCTCCTTTCTTCTCTCTCCCTCTTGCCCTTCCCCCCCCCCCGTCTCTCTCTTCATTCTCACTGTGACCCTTACATAGTATTACACCTCTCCTCCCAGAATCCACCACTGCCACTTCTTGTTCTAGTCCAGGCCCTTGGTATTTTACGTTCAAAATACTGTATCTGTCCTCCAGCCAATCTCCTCTTGTTCCACTTCTAGTCACTGCTTTTAGATCCTATCACATTCAGCACCAACTGAGCGGGAAGCACTCGCTTACTTACGAATCTTCTCTGTCTCCCTAATTCTTACCCTGTCTTCTCTCAAATATAAAATGGAAAGGCTGCCTCAAAGCCTCCTGCAAACTATTTTACCCACCTAACTCCCTCTCTCATGTCTGCTCTAGTCACACCCTACAGCTGGCTCTCCCCTTTCTGACTGCGTTTTTAACATAACCTAGCACAGCCTCTGGAATTGGACCATTTTTGTTTGTATCCAAACTCTAACACTTATTAGCTTCTGTTGCTTCAGGCAAGTGACTGCATTTCTTAGGCTCCTAGCTTTCACGGCAGTAAAATGGGGATAAGAGTATCTACCTAATAGGGTTCTTGAAAAAAATTAAATAAAACAATGCACATCAGATGTTTAAACCTGGGTCTGGCCAGCCCTCAACCGAAAAGTTGTTACTATGACTGTTCTCCTGCCAGAATGCCCCCCGCCCTTGGTTAACCTAAATCCTACCTCTTCCTTAAAGTATTGTGAAAATGCCATCGCCTCCAGGGAACTTGTCCTGAATAATCTAACCACCACAGTTTAACCTATAATAATATGAACTTTTTTACTGCTCACCCTCATTTCATGTATGACAGTCTTATCTTGCCACCCGTACCAAGCTAGTAAGTAATGAGACAAAAACAAGTGAGAACAATCTCGCTTCCAATTCTAACTCTATCATTTTAGAAGTGTGATAGTCACTTAGACAGCTGAGGTTTGGTTGTCTTACCTAAGAAAGGGAATGCTAGTTTTGACCTGGCTATGTTATTGCAGGGATTAAAGACAGTATTATTCAAAGCATCTGGGAAACCGTCTGGTCCACAGCCAGTGGCCAGGAATAGTAGGTACTGTAATAACACTTATTGCCTCAAATTTGTCAAAAGCACCTCCTCCCCACCAAGTTAGGTATGGCTGTGATCCCAGACAGATGGAGGATCATGAGTTTGAGGCCAGCCTGGGCAGTTTAGTGAGACACTGTGCAAACAAAAAACAAATGAACAAAAAAAAGACTAAATCCACCCAGTACCAAGGTACTACTCCTTTGCTGCACTTTGAAAGGTAGCTTACAAGGTACCCCTCATTCTCTTTCTCTCTCTCTCTCTAGGATCTCTCCAGAAATAGGAAACAATCCCACTCTAAAGGAGACACTAGGACAAAAGTGAAAGTCTGGGAGGAGGAAAATTCCGACAGATAGAACTGGAGCCAGAGATAGACATTTCTAACCCTAGTTTGGCAAGGGAGAGCAAATTCTATAGGGTTTCATACTTAGTCTAGTATTACTCCTAATTGCCCTAGATGTGGAGCCCATTCACACGTGTGCCGAAGTCCCAGCATGTGACTTGCAAGTCCCTTCTCTGCGGTGCAGATTCTTCTCCTCTTTGGGGTGGGGCTGGGGACGGAACCTCAACTAGGTAATACCTCCGTCCCTGAGCCACACTGCCCCACACATTTAAGTTACAAATGGGGAAGGTGACCATCTCTTTTTAAAAAAATTATGGTGTAGATTAAATCTAGCCCCATGAGTGAAATCAACTGGCAGAGTGCTAGACACAGATACCTTATAAACTTAAAACAAAAAACCCAACAGGGGCCATTTATTGAGCACTTCAGATGTGCCAGACACTAATCACTTAGCATGCATTAGCTGCCTTATTACTCCAACCTAATGCAGTAAGACCTGTTATTGCCCCCACTTTACACGTGAAGAAACAGACAGAGAAAACTTCAGTGATTTGCCAAGAGCACAGCGCTAGTAACCCACTGAGTTCAGAGGAGACTCAGATCTCCAGCTCTTTCTAGGATACCACATGCCCGGTCCTCCCTCAAAGGGTCTGTCTCAGGAAGCATGTGTATCTGAGGCTTGCCACAGCCATTCCCTCAATAAGCAGTCAGAAAAGAGAGGTGTAGTAGTCCTAGAAACAACCCCATCCTTAGGCAGTGGGGAAGGGAGATGATGAGGAATAAGCGGAGGAGCCATTCCAGCCGTGATCCACACAGTCCAGACCCAAGAGTGGAGGCAGTGACCCCAGGAGATACCCCTTCTCGCTCACTGAACACATACTATCACTGAACACATGCTATTATTCAATTCCCCCAAATGCCTTTCTTAGGAAGCAAAAAGTAAAGGACACTGAAGAAAGAAATCAGGAGAAGGAAGAATGGCAGCGGCCATAGCAGTCATGGCTACTGGCTGTACCTACCATGGAAGTTGCCCAGGGCGGAGAGATGGCTCAGGAGAGAATGAAGTATCCAGCTAGCTCAGACTCTTATCAACAGCCCCTCCCGCCGTGTCTTCCCTTAACTGGAACCCATCTTCCCTCCAGGTGAAACCTGGGGTGAGGAGCCATCAGCCCAAGATCCCGTGTGTGATCAAAGGGGCTCAGGCACAGTCAGGTCCCGGTCCCAGTTTTAAGAAAAGGAAGGAGTAGCACTGAAGAGAAGGTATGGCCATCAGCTTGGTTGGGTCTTGATGTGGCCACGGCCTTAAAAAATAAGAGCCAGTGTCAAGAGCTGGATAGGAGTGAAGACGCTGCTCCAGGAGCC